TATTTTCGTGATAACCTGCAATTCAAGTACAGTGGAAGTAGTATGATCTTTTTTTCTTTTATCTTGAAGATTCTATAAGATTTTAATTATTCTATAAGATTATCGTTTGAAAAAAATTTGTGTCGTAAACCGCTTATGTTCGATAAATTTCATCCTTTTTTTCTTCAAAATTTTGATTAATACCAAAAATACGATAAAAAAGTCAAACATCGTCTCTTTATCCCAAAGTACTCTACATGATCCTGAACATATGATCAATTTTTTTTTCCATTTCAATTATTTTTCTGCGCTTTCTATTCGGTTTAAATAGCAATATATGTTAAATAGAAATACACTATATTCTAAGAATAGAATTGATCTTTGTATATTTGCTTTGATGTTTGAAATTAAAAGAGAGCACCAGACTTTTTTTTTTAGATATCATTGTTGAATGAACAAACATCGTTTCACACATATTTTATCTGAAAAAATTAAGAATATGAATAGTATTTTGATGATATTTGAGGTAATTATCGGAACACTGTTGGCTAAAAAAGTTCGATACGAAAACTCTGTATAAGAAATTCGGTAAGTTCAAAAACTATACTCAAACTTTGTAATAACGTAGTCAAACACCAATTGATAAATTGATCTGTCGACGACTTAAAAATCCGTTGTATCTATTAAAAATAAAGCTGAAAAATTAAAGTCTAATAGTTTTCAACATCAGCGAGATAACATTGTGCTTAAAATAGATCATTCAACATTTCAATGAATCATATTACTCAATGTACGGAAAAGTAACCGTATAGAATCTTAAGAACACAGTAATTTTTCTCCACTGTCCGTACTATCAGCGTGAATTAATAGTATTACGAGAATATTCATTTTTGTTCATTTAGTTTCAGCACGTTGACAGGTTAAAGGGTAAGTCACTCTCACATCAAAGCACGTGTTGACGATTCAGGAAGTATATCGACGTCGAATTTTAATATTCTATTGAATAAGTAAAATGTGAGAGCAAAGAAATTTCGTTATGACGTGTTTGATATTCAAAGAAGACTATTGGTTTTTCGTTAGAAACAAAATGAACTTTAGTTCATGCATGGTACGTTGTTTATTTCGAGATTGATAATATATTTTCCGTACGTTAAACAAGTTTTATCTTTAATTGTCGTCGTATAGAATTAGAAAAACTTTCTAGATTGTAATTTAGACTTAGATAGTATTCATCCTCTGTTTTAGTTGTTAGCATGGTCAACATCGAAAAATATCTCAAAATTCGTTCAGAAAACATTCGTGAATAGTGTAAAATTCGAGATAAAAAAATATTTTATTGTTCGTCATAATTGAAATCTAACATTTTAATCATTCTCGTGCATGTAGGTGTGTAAGATTTTAAATTTGCGTGATAATGACGTTCATGTTGTCTTAAAGTTTTTCTTATTTTTCATAAATACAAGTTTGAGATTGATCAAATCAGTAGGAATAGAATGGAGGTACGGTGATCAAAGAAAGAGAAACTATGAAAATTATTCTCATTTCCGATATTATTGCTGATGTCCTGATCTTAATCATTCATGCACACTTCTAAGTAAAATTTCGTTTGAAATGTAAAAAGAGCAGATTTTTCAGATAAAAAGAAGGAATTGAATTAGACATGTTCAGTCACTGGATTCAGAAAAAAATTCAAATGTGAATCCTTTAAAAACTACATATTTGGTCTAGCCTATTTCCTGTAAAAGAGATATATATCTGATGACAGTATATTACTAAAGAAAATATGTTCTCTAATCTTTAACTCGACTGGAATAAGTTTTAGAACGTGTACATACTGATGCTTTTGAACTGATGGTTAAAAGGTAGTAAAGAACATTTCATTTCATTAATAAAACGATTGTTCGGCATTTTATTTGTATTTTCTTTTAAAGACGCCTATATGATATTTATCTTTGATGTAATTATAAATGCACGTATAACAGAAAGAGAAGAAAAACGATTAATTACAGATTGTATCAAGATTTTTTCTTTGAGTAAAAATTTTTCTATCCCGGTAGTGTAAGTAAACGATCCTTATTATTTATCTACAGTTTTTTAAAAAACTTTTTTATTCAACACTATATCAATGATACTTATACTTTTAGCGATGTAACAATGTTGTTAATAATTTCTTCTTTTATTCAAATTTAGAAACAAATTCTATTGGATTTTTTTTTTTTCTCTTTCCATTTTTCTTTCAATCTTCCTCTCTTTTTATGATTAAAATTTTTAAAGAAGAAAGGAAGTTCTTCGTTAAGCTCTATTTTTACTGATAAATGACATATCACATATATTCACACTTGATTATTTAGACAAACGTTAATTAAGCAAAAAAAAAGGTTTGTAATAATCATAGGTGTAATATAAATTTTTCGATTTCCTTACAGTTTGTGTTTGTCAGAAACATATTTTATACCCGCTTCAGACTCACTTTAAAAGAATAAATTGAGACATATAACAGAAAGAAATATGTCGATAGTAAAATATCGATATTTATCATTTTCTTTCTGAAAAATTTTACTTTATTATATGGATCACTATATAAGAATAATGTTTTCGTAGAGAACATGATGAGTTTTTAGTACAAATTCGAGTTTTCAAATGATTTATTGAAATATTCTTGATTGCAGTCAAAGTTTAGGTTTCTTTCATTACACATATCTACTTTTATCGCAGAGAAGCATTTCCTCTACCACTCTTTCTATTTTTGTTTAGAGATCATCTCAACTTTCGTTCTTTAAATCTATCGTTATGTGTGAAAATAATTGTCTTTTTAATTAACAAGCATTTTTAAAACGTGCTGTCCTCATTCATTTCCTAGTAAAGAATCAGTTTTGTTCAGTAAAATGTGCTAGGATACGCAAAAACAACAAAAAAAAAAAAATATATATATATATATATATAAGAAAAAGAAAGTTCTTACCATACCCCTTTTCGTTCATATTTCACTAACGTCTCGTCCAGTACTGTTATAACATCCATAGAATTACTCAATGAGATAAGGATATAGAAGGAGGATTTATTCGCGTCAAAAGATTTTTTGTATATAAAATAAGTTTGATGAGACTTTTAAAAGTCAAATTTGTCTGTTTTCTTTTATGAATGTTCTTAGGCTTCATTAATCGTTGATTTCATGTTTATCACCTTTCTTACGTTGCTTTAACACAAAAACATGATATGAAATGCGATAAGACGATATAAAAAACTAAAAATGAATGACATGAATATAAACATTTTTTCTTAATCTCTTTGTTATCATTAATATCGATTCATGAGTCTTTATTCGACAATGCGTGATCCGTTCTTATTTTTGTGAATCGATACTTGTTAAAAAACATTTTTATCTAATGTATACTTTAACGATTTAATTTACAATGCAAATTGTTGTTTTATATAAAATCTGTAAAAGTAATAAATAAATCATCGATCATCATTGAATTATTTTTAAGGTGTCATCGTTCTACAATTAATGCTAGTTTTCAATAGAGGAGGATGAGAGACAAGATAGTGATCAGCAGGAAAAAAAAGATATTGTATGGGATGCGAACTATTTTCGTTCATATTTAAAAAATATCGAACAATAAGTACATTTATCGTTCAGAAAATATTTTCTGTTTGCTCTTTAAAAGAAAAACACAAAATAAAATTTGATAAAGGATACAAAAAGATAGATACGAGGGGGGGGGAGAGAGAGAGAGAAAGAGAAAACGAATACTATTTAAAAGGATTTGGGCTGTGTTTTTATTTTTTACTTTTAACAGTTAATAACCAACAGTAACTCTCATTCGTACCACTATACTTTTACAATTCAGGTAAGGTGTTTAACTTTCACATACTGTACATGATTACTTTTTTTGCAGTATTCTTCTTCTTCTTCATCGTTTATATACAGTTTAGTCATTAATTCTTGATTTCAGAGTTTTCAAATAGAAGACAGAATATTTTATTTTTCATCATCACAGTGAACTTTGGTATCATTAGTTATAACTAGGTATGCACCATTTACAGTTTTTTACCAGTTAACTGTACTTATAAAACTGTAAAACGGCTGATAACTGTAACTGTCATAACTACAGGCAAATATTCTAGGGTGATTAATCTTCTACGATTTGCATACATTTTAAGAATAGAGACATTCTTAAAATGTATGCAAATCGTAGAAGACTAATTACCCTAGAATATTTGCCTGCAGTTATGACAGTTACAGTTTTCACAGTTACACAGTTATGGTTCTACAGTTTTACAGCTAACTGTAACTGGGACATGCCTAGTTATAACGAATGAGTCTATGATTTAGTTTCTTCTATAAATTTTGTAGTGTTCTCTTGATATATACCTCTACCTCTTCTTATACCTCTTCAATCAAACCTTTTTTTTTAACTTTATATTTAGTCGTCTATTGAATTTCACTTTCTGAATTACACAATAATCGACTAATTACATTCTTTAATATTAAATATGAAAAAATAACAAGTTGATCTTTAGTCTTAAAGATAAAATTATGCATGTTTGAGTTCATACTACTAGCTGTTCGAGTAAAAACAACGATTATGTGATCTTTGATTTATTATTATCTAGTCTTTATTTCACAGTTGTTGACAAAAACTTTTGTTGTATTGGGTATGGTTCATATACTGAACAGTTAATTTTGATAACAGTTTGTTTTCAGTTCTTACAGATGCCTTGGGTTTCTTTAAGTGATTCTTTGATGTTCTCAAATGTTGCTTGGAGTTAGATTTACTTTAAATTAAGTCAAATAGTTAGAATATTTTCATAAACTTCTATAACATCACGCCGACAAATATTCAGTATCATTTAAGAAAAGAGAGACGTTCTCTAAGAAATTTAAACTGTTAATTACTCTTTTGCAAAAAAATTTGACTACAGAGGATGGGTGAGAATAAATTCTAAAGCATTTATGTCTTCAAATTTGCTTGTGAACTAATGGACTTTATATTCAGATCTTTTTTTTTTAGTTTCCAATGATGATGTACAACGCCATAGTTATTATATCAATCGTCGTTTTATTTCACATTAACATCGTTTATAATTCAACTATACATGACGCAAGATCTAACGAAGAAACATTACAAGATCATGAACATCAAATATCATTAATTGATCAAGATGACGAAGATTTATATGATATGGATAAACGATTAGCTAATATGAAATTTGCTAGTGGACTAGGAAAACGATTAGCAAATATGAAATTTGCTAGTGGACTAGGAAAACGACTAGCGAATATGAAATTTGCCAGCGGATTGGGAAAACGCCTGGCGAATATGAAATTTGCTAGTGGCCTTGGAAAACGACTTCCATCAATGAAATTTGCATCTGGTTTAGGTAAACGAAATGAATACGAGGATTTAATGGATTTTACTGATGAAAATGAGAATCAATTCAATCGACATTATTTTTAAATAAATGAGTTGGCGTTGTGTGTTTTTGTTTTTTCTTCTTAAAAACTATAAGGCAGGTTGTGAACAAATAAACACAAAAAATGAACTGATAATAACAACCAACAAACGTTATTTATATAGAATCATTTTCTAGTATTACTATTAGTCATTGCCTCATTTTCTTTTCAGAATTGATCTAAAGCCGAATATTGTTCATTATATTCTCCTTTAAAGACTTGAAAACTGATTAACAGTACAAGTCGAGCAAACAGACTGTTATCAAATTGACAATTTGTTTTCTGTATTGAAGATCAATTAATTAACCAAAAAACAAAAAGCGTACACACTTTTCGAACAGAAGAGTTGAAACAACAAGTTTCGCTGGAACTGGCTACGAGGCAGATAAGCCAGAGTTATTTTTGGGAAGTGTGGCTCAAGTCTTTGTGTAATCGGAATGGATTTACCCCAAGGCAGCTCGCTCTCACCTATTTTGATCATTATCTTTCATAGTGATCTGCCTAACAAGGTGGATGTGTACTCAAACGGGATATTTGCAGACAACCTGCAAGTGACAATAATTCCACCAATTAAACCAAAGTTAAGCCAAATGTTAAGATATTTAGAAGAGGAGGGACAGAGAGTGTGCAACAGAATTCTTCAGCATTCGATTGACCATGAGCAACTTATTAATTATAGTAAAACAGTTTTCCAGGTATTTCATTCCCAGATTAAGAGACCCACTGTTTCTTTGTCAATGGTAGGCTTTAAGTTAGAGCAAGTTATAACTTTAAGTATCTGGGTTTCAGTTGGTCAGATAAGCTGTCTCTAAACGACGCAGTAGACAAAATTCAAAAATTGTTCAGTTAAGGTGGTTAACAAAATGTAATTAAGGTTCAAGTAAGTTAAGGCGGCAGGATTTTTTCGTGTAACTCATTTCCTTTTTACCACGCATTCTCGTCGAATTACTAAATACGAAGTTCAGGGTGGGACTTCGCCTTGTGCATAGGTGTAGCTATGCCGATGCTGAGGAACTTTTCGACCTATGCGAGGAGGAGCAGTTAGATTACTATGTTGTTAATTATTTAAAAAGGAGATTATTGCGTTTCTATAATTCTGATTTATGCAACTCCTCTATCCTAGATGATGTATTTTATTGGGACTACTATCCGAGGGGGAAAAGACGACTTTTTTCTTTCTTAGCATCGGAGAGTATCGGATACTGAGCATCTCATGCATCGGAAAGCATTTCCACGGCTCCGGAAAGCTCTCAGAGCCGTATTTTCCCTCTTGCTACTATCACACGGCTAAGAGATTGAAAATAGAGCACTATTTTTCCGAGCTGATATCATGGCTAGCTTTTGTTGATGATAGAGAAGGGAAGTAACAGTGAGAAACTATTTTCGATCTCGCTCATTTTTCCTCTGTAATGTGTAAAATTTAAATGCGTATAACTGTATTTTAATTTACTTTTTTTTCTAATTAACGTAGTTCAGTACGTGCTCAAGTAGTATATATGCCCTACTATTGTAACTCGTAGATTAGTCTCTTAATTTAAATCAATATGTCTCTACCGCCCCGCTCCCCAAATGTAACTTTTTCCATATGCATTTGTATTTTTACTTTTGTTTTTAACTGTGATTATCAATCTAACGTGAACTAACTCTCTTTTGTAACAGCCCAAGGGCTTAACAATATATGGAAAGTCAAAAGAAATGTTGATTTGTGAAAACACAATTTTCAGTAGCTGTAAACCTTTGGAGTGAAATTGTGATTGATCAAATTTCAATATAAATTTGGGGTTTACAGCTACTGAATGGACTAGTAACAGACAATGCATTGTTGATCTGATGTTGTTAGACAGAAACTTTAAAAAGTTTTACCATATCTCTCCATATGATCAGAAAAAAAAGCTATTAAATAGAAGTTTCTCTCACGCGCTACTATTCTTATTTAACTTCCTTTTATTTATACATTTTCTATTATAGTCCAACAGTTCAGTAGGAAGTTTTCACATTTTTGCTTCGTAGAAGCAACACTGACAAGCTTTTTGGATTTGTCTCGGTCATATCAAAGCCGAGTGTATATATTTGAATCCCTGATCTGTTCAAGAATCTATTTTTTCGAACTTCTGAATTCAGAATCTCAAAATCTAGAAAACTTATATGCATACATGTGGGACTAAAATTGTTCATCCAAACCTGTCTTGTATTGTAATCATCTTTAGACTTTTCAATTTCGCCGTCGTCTTTAAGTAATTGTTTGTAAAGATCGAGTGTTTTTGCCGCAGTGCGGTCAATTGCAAAACAATCAAAATCTTCGAGTTTCTTGAGATCTTTCCAGTCGCTTCTCCGCGAAGTACATAGTAAACAATCGG